ATTGTATTATTTTTTCATTGCTAATTTATTTTTTCTTTTGTTTAACTACTCTTCCAGTTAGCAGTATTCTTTCTTTTGGGCTCCTTTGATATACTGGCTTTGCTATCTCTGTCTAGGATTTCCTTGGGTACTTCCTGAATGGTGGTTTGGCATACAAGACAATTCCTCTTCACTCATTGTATCTAAGGTAAGTCACGCTGACTGGCAGCCATGCACTAGGGCACCACCAGGCTGTTTATGGGCATCATCACACTCTGTATTCCCAGTGGCCCAGAATGGCACCCATTTTACAGATGTAGCAACTGAGACTCTGAGACACACCAAACTGTTGTATTAGTCAATGCTTATAAGAGTCAGATGTAGAAGAGTGCAAAACATCTGTCTGCATGCTAGAGACCTGAAGGATCCAATTGAGGGCTTGGAGCCCAGCACAATGTCCCATGCAAGTCTGTATCAGGAGGCTGAAGTATCCGAGATAGGAGACTGAAGGATTTACACTAGAAAGGCCCAAGGGCCAGTGGTCGAGGCTAGCAGCTTCTCCAGGAAAATCAGAGCCATTTAATCTTCCCCTCCCATTCTCCTTAGGTGGGTCTTCCATTGTCAGAACCACACTGACTCAGTTCAGCTGCGTGTTCCCACTCGAGCTGACCATTAAGTAATCCACCACAACCACGCAAGGGATGGCAGGGGGCCTGAAGACTGAATAGTGACTTCACCCCACATTTGTGGCAGTATAAATCACAGGCTGTTCCACCTGTAAGCTGAAGAGGGTAAGTACATGACAGCTGGTGTTTTTGGGAGAGAGGGTGGCAAGCAAAGTGAAACAAAGCATCCTCGTCTTGGATTGGGGACCCTGGGGTGACCATACTGCTGATGAACTATATATGTCTGCTTGGCCTACCTTCATCCCCTTTTAGGCATCAGCATCCCCTGTGTGTCACCTATGTCCCGCCTCTCTTCCTGTGGGCTCTGTAGACACCCTTGGTGCATCCAAGTCTGCAGTCTGGTGCTGGCCAGCAACATGACAGTGTTAATGCCATGGGAGTGGCTTTCGACCTGTGGGTAGAGAGCTCATCCAGGTGGGACGAGGTGTCCAGTACAGGACTCACTCATCCAGGCCGCTCACTGCTCTTCTCCTGCTACCTTATCTTCTCCAGGCTCCCCTCTGGATTCCCAAGATCACTGATGACAAACAATTTGTTACGAGTCCTTGTCCACCTTCAGGGACCCAGATCTGCCGAGGCTCCATGCTGCCTGAGTGACTTCACCAGGCCTCTGGGCCTTCTGTGCTCGAGTGTCCTCCCTGGTCAAACGGGGACAAAAGGTCCACCATCATGACATCATGAAAGGAGACCTGGCATAGGAGCACGAAGAAGGAGGCAGAATCAGGATGCAAGTGTGTAAGAAACAGGGTGCAGGAGTTGAGGAACGAATGAGGGCCGCCCCTCTGAAGGACAAGGAAGGTCACCAACAAGGGGCACCAGGCCGGATCAGGTCACGTGACAGTCACAGAAGAGACAACTGTCAAAGATCACCCGAGGGAGGTTTCCTAGGGGAATGACTCAAATATCGGGTTAGGGAGCCTTTAGCAAATTAAGGAGGCCCAAGAAGACTTTTGCTTAGATGCTATAATTTGGTCATATAAATGCATCCCAAATACCCAGTTGACATTGAATTTAGGTGGAACTATAACACATATTTTGCTAAGTATAAGGCACATTTATTCTTCATGTCTTTATTTCATTTTCAAGATGAAATGGCAAGCAAGACTTTTCTCCTTTGTTTCTTTCAAATATAGGGCTGTTTTACTGAAGTGGATGCTTCATTTTTCCTGTTCGTCCTGCTAACCCAGAAGCCATGACCTTTTAGTGGATGGAGTGCATGTGAACTTCACAGAGGCAGAGACCCTGGGGCCTCCAGGTCAGTATTTGCTAAACGAATCAATGGATCTTCCTCTCTCCCCTTTAAATAAGGCTTACCATCGTGGGCCCAGCCAGCAGTAGGGCCACCTGAGGAGGGACTATCCTACCTAGGCCCGGCAGGTCCCTTTAACTAGCTGGCATGCAGCTCTCTATAGGCACCCAGCAAAGAAGGGCCCCACTTGTCACTTCTCTCAGAGTAGCAATAACAACCCATCAGGCCAACCTACCTATTTCTCACTTAACTGGTGGGAAAACCAAGGCTCAGAGTGATTCTGGGGTCACCAACAAGAAAATCTGAATAAGATAAGGGCCCTTACCCTAACTCCAGAGCCTGGAGTCCTTCCTGAATGCTATCCCTCAAGGCACCTTCCTTGGGTCCCAGGGTTCCAAGGTGCCATGGATGGCCACACACACTCCCGCCCTGAAGCACTCACTGAGCCAGGGGGCAGAGCCATCCCTGCTGCTGGGCTGAGTGTGGGGCCAGGCAGGGTTTGGCAATGGGTCCTGGGCTGTCCCAGTGCAGGGACCTCCAACTGGATGGGGCATTCAGGAACCAGCTTAGTATAGGAAGGATAACGCTTCAGACCCCACGCTCCAGTCCTGGACATGGGCCTCGGCACATGTCGTGTGCCTGTGATGTCCAGAGTTAACACCTGCCACACCATCATGCTGACAAATGCCTGGCCCACAAGCCAGCTCCCAGGGTGACCAAGGACAGGGGTTCCCTCCTCCCTAGGCAACCTAACCGAGCTGCCCTGGGACCCTGGGATGGGGCTGCCCAGCTGACTCTCCTTTCACCAGGTGGACAGGAAGTCAGGCTCCCAGGAGGACAGGCACACAGGATCAGTCAATATGACAGCGGTGATCAATGGCATTCCCCCGGGATGGTCTCATGTGCATGGTGACTTCAGCATATCGACACCCAGGACAGCTCTCACAAACACACAAGTAAAAGTCTATGGGGCTTTCGTCACCATGAACAACACTTTCCCGACCCTGGTGGAAAAGCTTAGCAATCTTTTAGTAAAATCACCATGGCTTTAAACACCTCAAATAGAAAAAAAAAATCATTAGAACCTTTACCTCTGTGATCTTCAGATTCTGATCTGCATATTTTAAAGATGTTTAATGGGTGTGCGCACAGCCATGGGTTAGGGAGAGCCACACCTCCACAGTAGCCAGACTTGGGGCTTCCCTTTCCGTGAGATGAGTGAGATGCAGTGACTTCCTCCTCGATGAGAAGTTGTGTCCAGGGTCTGGTCAGCACTTGCCACATAGTTGGAGCTCAAAGAAGTGAGTGGTCTCATGATAGCTAAATCCAGGCTGGGCCCTAGATATTGAATGTATAAGAAAGTGTATATATATGTGTGTGTGTGTGTGTGTGTGTGTGTGTGTGTGCATGCACAATGGAGTACTACTCAACCCTAAAGAATGACAAATTTGAGTCCTTTGTAGGAAAATGGATATACAGAGAGACCGTAATACTAAGTCAAATAAATGAGATACAGACAGTTAAATATCACATAGTTTCTTTAATATGAGAAACCCAGAAGTATGAGTAAAGAGAAAAGTAAAAGGTAGACGATAGAAACAAGGAGGTAGACTTTGGGGAGATGGGACGGGAATCTGGGGTTTGGGGAGATAGGAGAAGTTCAAAGTGTGACAGGAATTAGGGAGGCGGGAGTTGGGATCCTATCAGGAATAAGGACAGCAGCCCCAAAATAGAGTCAGGGGACTCAACATGGAGTCCGCTGAGCCACGGCCTGCAGGGATCTTACAAAACACCTCCCGGGTGTCCCTCAGCTGTCTCCTATAGGGTGGAGATGGTATCGCTTACATAATGGCCTGAGCTCCTTTGAAATCCCTAGGCAAAGCGTCCTTGTGGGTTTCCTCCTCAGATACCCCTCCTAGCTAGCGGGAGTTTTATCTCCTTGCTTTTATATCTTTAAAATAAAATTGCTCGCACCCTACGTCCTCTGTGTGTGGTTTCGTTCTTTGTCACAGTGGGGCGTAACCCAGGTGCTCCGGGAACAGAAGGATTAAGAGGGATGTGTACGTGTGCCAATCCCCCAGATGAACGTAGCTACTATGTATCACAAACATGTACTGATAGGAATGCAGTGAATGCTGCTTCTCGGTGCCACCTAATAGAAGACAGACTCACAAAGATAGCACGCTGTGTCCTCACCCATCTTATTCTCTAGATCTGGCCCTGTGTGACTTCTGGCTTCCCCTCAAAGTTAAAGCGAACCTGAGAGGGGAGTGTTTTGAACTAATCCCGTGACAGTGCAACTAACGACACTCGTGAAAGAGAACTTTCATAACTGCTTCAGAAAGGGGCAAGAATGTTGGGAGAAGTGTGTAGGAAGCCAGAGCAAGTGTATTTTGAAGGGGGTTAAACGGCAGTGTGTCTTTACTGCAATAATTTTATCTTTTTAATTAGGAGAAAAACAAGGAAAGGAGTGTGTCACTGTTCTGTCATTTTCACGCCCCTGTTCCACCCTGGGGACTGAGGCAGTCTCCATACAGCAAAATGAGGCTAAGAAAGAAAGGCACCCCCAAGCCGCCGCATTCTCTCGTCCAAGACCCTGTGAGCCTGGTGTTGGAGGTTGGGCGCGTGCGATGAATAGCAATTGACGCTGCTGGGTGCTGGCAATCTTTGGTAGGTGTACAGGGAAGCAAGGAAGAAGGAAGGCTGGTAGATGTTCTTTGAGTTCAAAGGTCCAGGATGAATATAGAGGCTGAACAACGTTGATTTGGGTGGGAACAGGGACCTTGATCTTGACCTTGACCCGAGATTCCAGAGAACATGAAAGGACTGGGGCTGAGCCAGGCTCCTGGGGCTGGGACACAGCACAAGGAGCTGTTGTTGTCATCACCGTCCTGGCTGCAGACGCCAGAGGCGGGCACATCCCACTCCGGTGCCACCCTCCCCAGGACGACGCTTCCTCGGAACGTGTCCAAGGACAGTCCGATGGCTAATTACGCAGATCACCTCCGTCCTTTCACCAGGTCCAATCAAAGCAAGGCAACCGCCCTGCAGAGCAGATGGGGGAGACTGCGCAGGGGAGGGAGGGCAGGGTCCTCTAGAGCCACCCGGTGTCGATAAAAGGGCAGCGCAGCGGGGAGGCCGGCTGGGAGCGCAGAGCTGACCTGGGACCATGCCGCTGCTCCTGCTGGCCGTGGCACTGAGCCTTTTCTGTGCAGTGCCGGCCGCCTTGCCTCCGCTGGCTCCTGCTCGTGCTGAGGAGGTGAATCCCTGGGGAGGGCTGGGGTGAGATCTGGGGTTCCAAGGTCAGGATCTAGTCCCGGTGAGAGTTTCATACCCTTTGGTCAGAGCCCTAGCGGAGGTTGGCAGGATGCCCTTGGGTCTGCTTGACTATGGAGTGGGTCCAAGCAGTCCCAAGGGAGAGTGCCCCGTGGTCCTGCCTCCCCGAGGGTGCACAGCGGCTGAGCAGTGGCTTAGTGAGGCCGCCCCAGTTGCTCATGCACTGGGTGTCACCGTCCCTGTGACGCAGGGGTCTGCCTCTTCACTCCACCTGCTGTGAGCTCCAGAGAAGCTTCGTCCCGCCACCACCATGGATTCATTCAGCATTTCCATTTCCAAGAGAAAAGCTCGCACATGAGTGTCTTTACAAGCCCAAGGATTTTCCCCAGAGTTTTAAACTGTTATCTCTGGCCCGGGTGGGTTTTAGGACAAGATTTGAGCCCCTGGAGAAGATGCCACGTAAAGCCAGGACCTGGGGCTGAAGGACAAAAATGGAGTTTCCCATATCTGATGGCCTGGTCTCAAACAGGTCTGGGGGTCAAGGCCATTTTCCAGGCACCCCAGCTCCATCTAGCAGCAAGTCCGGCTCCTGGCCCAGCCATCCTGACCCCAGGGCCCCCCCACAGGGACAGGCAGCTGGCCTCTTCTCTCTCGGGGTGCTGGCCGGCTGCTGACCATGCCATGTTCCCCTCTCTGCTCTTCCCACACCGACGCCTGGCCTGGCTCCTCCCTCACCCTTGTGCCCAGGGCCCTTCTTCCCGAGACCTGCCGGGCCTCATCCACACCCCCAAGGCCCTGGGTATAGGCAGTGAATGGTCGACGGGAACGGCATGTGAGGTCCGCGTGGAGTCATGTATGTAAGGGCTCTGACTGTCACATTCAGTGACATTTGTCCCTCAGATCCGGAAGAACACCAATGAGCCCAATTTCTAGAGGACTCGGGTACTGGCAGGGGACGGAGGCGTAGACCAGAGCCTGTGAGCTGGTCGCGGCCCAGCAGCAGTGATCGTCTTGCCTTGCTGTCCATTGTGCCTGGTCACCCCTCATCTGCTGTCTTCCTCTCTCACTCCCTTACAGATGAGGGCGTCTCCTGGTCCTTTGGGCAACTTTTCCCATTTGCCCCTTGGAGGTCTGCGCAGGGCCTTGGCCAGAGCCACACCCAGGAAGTGTGTCATCTAGGAAGGCCCCTGTCCTGGCCCTCCTGGCCCAGCCTCCTGCTGACAGAGAGGGGTCATGTTGCGGCCAGGACCTCTCCCGCTCCTCCAATGTTGCAGGCCCTGAAGCCTTCACTGAGGCCCTAAGCCAAGGCCCCTCCCACCTCTGTTCTCTCTTTGGCTCCAGCCTGGATCCCCTGTCATGGCTCCCCTTGCCCTGCATCCTGCTCAGGGATGACTTTTTCCTCTCCAGCTTTTAGGAACCTGGTACATGATACGCTGGGCAGGAGACCTGCCTATTCCTGATGAGACGAGGAACCACCCAATGCCTCCCATGAAGTTGCGCAAAAACAGTCAAAATAAGCTGGAGCTCAGGATGAACCTCATGTGAGTACCCTGTACCCGGGCTCCCCTCTCTGCTCTGAGCATGGGGCCTCCTCGTATGAACTCATTCTGTCCTCTACGTGGAGTAAGTCCTCCTCTTTCTGTATCCTGGCAATGTGCCAGGCGGCCTCTGTAGCTACAGGGGCAGAGCTCACACTGACGCCGAGCTGGGCGCATGGGGCTGTGCTGCCCACCTGCTACGATCTGTGCGGGCGCTCGCTGTGTGGCCTTGACTTTGCCTCACAGCTCTCTTCGCTCCTAGAGAAGCCTTGCCCCAGCACTGCGCTCATTTTTATGCGCAGACAGCCCTCTGGGGTCCTTCGGGATTCTTCAGGTTCAGCAGGTTCCCTCATCTGTAAGGAGCCCAGCCTGGAGCAAGGATAGACTCAGGGCCTTGTCATCTGAGAAAGCCATTTGGAGGAACATCTGGACACCCAGGGCCGACCTGGCCTCCTAGGTAGGAAAAGCCCAGGTATGAGCCAGGGCCCAGGCTGGCCTGGACTCAGTGTGGAGCGGCCATCGGCTCCACACCTGCCCAGCTTCTCCCCAGTTTGTGTCCACTGCAGAGGGAATATGGAGCCATGGGGGCTGTGGTCTGTTACCGCAGAGGACATCTAGCTGCTATGCTGGCACAGGCACGTTGTCCCAGCTACCCAGGAGACCAAGGCAGGGGGATCACAAGTTTGAAGTCAGCCTGGGCAACTTAGTGATTCACTTTCTCTAAAAAAAAAACCAAAATAATAAGTGAAATGGATGGATGGATAAATAGGTAGGCAGAAGACAGGCTGGGGAAGTCGCTCAATAGTGGAGTACCCCTGACTTACATTTCTAATACTGTAAAAAAGCAAGTGCTAGCCATGAGTTCCCGAGCCTTGTCCTCTAGACTAGGACAGAAGTCTCCAGAGGCTCTTAGAAACCCCAGGCTGGGCTACCCGGCGTCTTTCTTGGGCTTGAGTTTGCTGGGTGCCAGACCCTGACCAGCCACAGCTGTTTAAGGAGCCTCATGTGCCAGTAAAATGTGACATCCAGTTTCCGTTATTCCTTGGCAGCCTCAGGCTCCAGGGCCCTGGGAACTTGAAGGCGGGACCTCCAGATGTGCTGGCCACACAGTTGAATCACCCTGGCTCATGGCAGAGAGAAGTGAAGAGGGGCTGGGCAGGTTTCAGCCTCGGGAACCACGTTTATGTCCTGTGTTCCAGGAAACCCATTGGATGCATTGAGTTCAAGCTGCCCCTGGATGTAGGAGATGAACCTGGCACCTTTATAACCCGTAAGCATGCGGTTGGGAATTCTTTTTTTCAGGAGAATCCTCATAAAGAGACCCGACGTTCACTCAGTCTGTGTCACCTGCAGGATGGAAACATACCATCTATGTCTACTTCCTGCCAGGGAAGAATCACGGCATCACCTACTTCAGGGGCTACATGAACTACATGTATTACCAGATGATGATGCTCATGGGTGAGTCCAGCCTTTCCTGAGTTTGTGAGACTCTGTGGGCTAGGCACGGAGAAGAGTGCCATCTTCTCAGCCAGCACAGAGCAGTTCCCACCCAGGGAGCCCTTGCTGAGCTTCCCAGACTCGTGCAGGGAGAGGGATGTACGCGCTCTGGGAAGTGCTCACGGGACCAATGCTGGTGCCGGAAGCCCATGGCCCCTCAGGCCCCACTAGGCCTGGCCCCTTCCTCTCCTCCTCGGTGACCTCTTGGCATGATCCTACTCTGACCAAAGCACTCGGTCTGGGCTCCTTTGCTCCCAGAGACGTGGAGCAACGATGTCTGGAGACACGGCTGCTGTCATGACAGAAGCAGCAGAGTCCTGTCACTCAGGGGGCAGAGGCCAGAGCTCTGCTCCAAACCTTCTGTGTGCTGGACCCAGCCTAGAGAGTAGCCACCCCAAAGGTCAGCAGATCCCTGTCGAGCCTCGTCTCCCTCCTGAGACTCGCAGCTCTTCCCACACTCTCTAACCCCTGCCAGAGAGCTGCAGTGTTCCTGCTCCGAGGATCCTTCCGGCCGTGGAGCCCCTGTCAATCTTGTGCAGCCTTCCTTGTCCATCTTCCCGTCCCTCCCCACCACATCCGGCCACCCCTGCCTCCGACCCACTGGGGACTCTGGCCTTGGTGGTCCTAGGAGCACCGTGCAGGGGTCTGGGATGGAGCCGGAAGAGGCAACAGAAACCCCCACTTCCCACACACTGTTCTGAGACAGATTCCAGGGCTGTGGAGGTGGGGCAGAGGTGCTGGAAGAGCTGGGGGATGCAGAGGACCCTGGACGAGATCCGATGGGTGGGGAACGTTTCTATGGGCCAGGCTGGAGATAGGGACTTGCTCAAGGGGCTGGGAGGCTGATTCGGTAAGAAGAGCACAGATATGTGCACCCCTCTTTTTTCCACTTTATTCTCCCTCAGGTCCCTCACAGTGGAGTTGGGGCAGGGCACCTCCAGGCCCACAGTGCATGTGCAGGCAGTTTTGCCTCTGTCCCCTGCTCACAGGGCCCGGGCTGCTGAGATCCATTTGTTGTGAAGCCTTCAGATTGTCCTGGCGGAGTGTGGAGGCCCCGGGGAGCTGTGAGCAGCCAGCCCGGAGTGAGGGGCCCCTCCTCACACCCACACGGACATGGGCATCCGGTTTCCTCTACCCACTTTACTCATCTTACCCGCAGCCCACACTCTGGATGAAGACCAGGAGGCCATAGCGGTCTTTCAGGAGTTTGTGGACAGCAAGAATCTGAAAATAAAAGAACTCATTAACCCTCCTCGGGCCGGTAATGAGAGGGGATTTTTCCTGATGTCCTTTTCCCTTTCATTCATGATTTCCGTTATCCCTGAGCTTGCCCTTCAGCTTTTCTTTTCTTGAGTCAAATGGTGACTACACAAACACTCCTCCTTACCCTTTATCTCCTTCTGGGTCTACAGATGCCTGTAAATTGTCCAGAGAGATTTAGTACAAGGAAGGAGAGACAGACACGGCCTAGAAACGAGGAGCTGGGACCCTGCTGCCCTTCACCTCCCAAGGGCAGAACTCCGAACGAACTGCAAGAGAGAACAGGGCCCAGCACACACATCTCCCCAAACTTCTGCTGTCAATAAAGATGGTCAACTTCTGCTGCTCATATGTCTACTGGGCTTAGATTTTTTTTTTTTTTTTTTTGTATGGGGATGGAACTCCGTGTCTCATGCATACTGGGCACATGTTTTACCACAGAGCTGCTTCTCCGGCCCATCTGATTTCATTTTGAGATGAGATGCCCCTAAGTTTCCCAGGTTGGCCTCAAACTCAATCTTCCAAGTAGCTGAGATTACAGGCATGTGTCAACATACCTGCCCTGGGTTTTGTTTTAGCAGGAGTGGCCAGAGGCTCAGACATGACCCTGAGGATCAGGAGGGAGGGAATTTCCATCACATTACAGTTCTCTGTGCACAGCTGATTGCCACACCCTCAGGGCCACTGGTAGAGTAGCACAGCAAGCTGGGCAGATGGAGAGAGGGTCTGGGCAAGAGCCTGAGTGGGGGACTGTGGTGAAAGAAAGGGGATAGGCTTACAACAAGTCAGGGAAGTTCCAGAAGTCTGAGCTTTCAGAATGGTCCCTAGTGGCCTGGTATCTGTTGCTGGAACATGGCCCAGTTGTGTTTTTTGCATTGGAAAGGTGAGACTTACAGGTGAGGTCTTTACCATCCCTGGAAATGAGCTAGTTTAGGCAGGCTGGACTCTCAAGGGCAGCAAAGCCTGGATTCAGAGCACCGAATATGCAGAAAAGAGGATCACACAAAAATGCTCATAGCTGAGTCCTAATTCAAAGGAATGAGAAATTAGCCCCTCCTCTCCTCAGGAGAAGTTCATAGGGGGTAGGCTGGAAGATAGGGTCTTTCTCAAGAGGGTCCGGGAGGCTAATTCAGTAAGAAGGTCATAGATATATAATATATGGTGTCAAATTCTCACATATACCACAGTCTTTCCTATGTCTGTGGTTATTTACAGAAAAAATACATTCGACACCTCCTAAGACAACACCTCCAGTTATCATGGAACTGTGAGGTTCTGACTGAAAGACTCAGGACAAAAGAAGTCTGCCTGTATGTGAGGTTCCTAAGGGGCAGTGAAGTTGGGTTCTTGACTCAGCTGGTCCCTTCTACAGTATTTGCTCACTAGCGAGGCAAGCACTGTGGATGTACTACCCATTATAGGAGAAAAGAGGGTTGGAGGACCATGCCCTCCCCAAGTAGAGCATCTCCATGGCCCAGGCTGGGAAATGTCCTGCTTATGAGCCTTTGGAGGTCAGATACCCCAGGGGTCTCCCCTTCTCACTGTGTTGTTCCCTATAGCCGACCTTCATGGAAGGGCCAGGGAAGTTGGGGCAGGGCATCTCTGAGCTCAGGATATGCCTGTGCAGGAAATTCTGTACTGCTCTTTGCTTTCCTCGGTTAGGGTTGGAGGAATTCTTCTCTGGTGGAGCCTGAAGATGAGGGAAACATACCTCCAGTCAGCCTTGCAGGGGGCTCATCTGCTGCAGCTCTTGGTGCCCAAATGAGACTCAAATGCATTTTGTGTTCTATGGCTAAGGTGAGGCCAATGGGCTTTGAAGTCCCTTTAGGCACTGGGACCTTGGGTGGAAACCCTCCTTGGTGTCCTGGACATCCATGGGTAATGGCGATTTCCCTGAGGTCACTGGACACAGAGAACTAAGTAAACCAGTGAGTAGAAAGAAGCCCTGTTCAGAGCAGGGACTGGGGATAGGGCTTGGTGCTCTTGAGGGACTCACAGAAGCACAGGAGGGGAACCATAGAAAGATGAGATTTTCAAGGGCTGGATCCTCAGATATGTCTCCTTTGCCTGGAGCAGGGGCTTTCCTATAGATAGATTTCAGGGTCTTATTCTTCCTTCTTGTTCTACAGCAGACAAGCAGGATGCAGTAGCAAACAGGATGTCCAGCGGAGCTCACGTCAATGCTGGCAGCATCACTCTGGGCAGGATCCTAGAGAATTCCATGGGTTCCCTAGCCCATAGCACCAACTTTGGCCAATCTCTGGGCTGGGAATTTAGCTCAGTGGAGTCACACCTACCTTGCAAGTGCAAGGTCCCAAGTTCTATCTCCAATCCCCGGTACCCCCCCCCCAAAAAAAAGAATTTCAGAGAAGATCTAACACCAATACTCCTCAGGGTCTTTAATGAAATTGAAAGGGAAGAAATACTTTCAAAGTCACACTCTGTTCAGGGTAACTGTGTTGAATTTTCTACCTCAATCATGGGGAGACTCTTGCTCTGATTTCTATTTTCATATTCATTAGTATTGTCTTTGTAGTAGGCTCTGTCTTGTTACTAGTTACTTACTCTTCATATTAAACTCTGTTCACGTTCCTGTGTGACTCCTCCTGACACTCCCCGTCCTATTAGTCACATCTTTTACTTTCTGTGTTATGATGTTTGATAGTTGGCATTAACTGTGCCCACTGGTGGCAATTCTGGAAGTTAGGACTCTGTGCTGCCACAAAGGCTAGGAGACTGAGGCCTTGTCCTTCCCAGTAATTATATTTTAAATAACAGGCTTTCAGGTCCTTGGAGAGATACTACTAAGTTACATGCATATCCACAGTCATAGGCCTTGCTTAGAAAATGCTTTGTCCCATGTTGGCCAAAACCGACAATGCTTTCTCCTGGCAGCATGAGGTCCTCAGTTACCTTAGGGGCCCTGGCCTTATGCTGCCGGAATGTGGTCATGTCAGTGTGGGGTGGCCTAGAATCGTCATGTGCCAAGAGTCTTGGAGTTCTCAGCACATGCGTGATGATACACTCCACCAGATTGAACATTAGCAGGAAGCCCTCTGGGCCTAACAATAGTACCACTTACCCTACTCAGCTGCTCCAGTAGCAAATTCCAAAGATCAGAAGTCTGGTCTCCTCAGGCAAAGGAAGAGGCTCATAGTTTGGGTATCAAAGCTCACACTTTCACGTACGCTTCTTTTTTTTTTTTATAAATGTTCCACTTCCATGCATCAGGTCCCCTCCTTAAGGATCCAGCTAACACATAAATGACATGGCCAGTTTAATGCAACATACCAAGCAATCCTTCAAGCCACACTTCATACTTTTGCATCTGAGTTTTCAGCCATTGGTGCTATGTGGCTAGAAGAGTTGGTTTGGTGCTGCATTGTTGATTCTGCCTGAGTTGGGTTGATGGTCTGTGTTGTGTTTGCACTTTGGTTCTACAGTTCTCCCCAAGAAGACTTGCAGGGAGATCTGCAGAAAGAAGCTCAGAGGAAAAATTGGCAAGCTTAGAGAGTACTTTATCGGGTAGAAAAAAATTACTCTTGCTCTGTATTAAGAGCAAGTATTAAGCGAAGTAATCTTTTATTGAAGATAATGGTATGCTTGGGAAAGTTTCAAGCATTCAGATATTAGATATGAAAAAGGTGAAATCACAACAGACACTGTCAGAATCCAGAAAATTATTAGCAACTACTTCACAAACACATATGCAAGAAAGTTGGAGAATTCAGAAGAAATGGAGAGATTCCCAGATTCATATGAATTACCAAAACAAGAAGACTTAAAAATCTTGAACAATCCAATGCCAGGCAATAAAATTGAAGCAGTATTAAAACACTACCAGCTAAGTGACTCCCAGGGCCTGATAGATTATAGCCACATTTTACAAGAATTTCAGGGAAGGGTTGGGGATTTAGCTCAGTGGCACCACACCTGCCTTGCAAGTGCAAGGTCCCAAGTTCGATCTCCAAACCCCAGGACGCCCCCCAAAAAAAAGAATTTCGGGGAAGATCTAACACCAATACTCCTCAGGGTCTTTAATGAAATTGAAAGGAAAGAAATACTTTCAAAGTCACTACAGGAAGGTACCATTACTGTGACTCTAAAACTAGACAAGGATCTAACCAAAAAAGAGAATTATAGGCCAAGATCTCTAGTGAACATAGATGCAAAAATCTTTAATAAAATACTGGCAAGCATAGAGCAACAAATTATGAAAAAGACCATACACCACAACAAAGTAGGCTTCATCCTCAGAATGCAAGGATGGTTCAACATAAGCAAAAAAAAAAAACAAAAACAAACAACAACAACAACAACAACAAAACATAAGCAAATTAATAAATGTAATTCATCATGTTAACAGAAGCAAGGACAAAAATCACATGATCATCTCAATAGACATACAAAAAGCCTTTGACAAAATCCAACATTTATTCATGATAAAAACCCTGAAGAAAACAGATACCAAAGGACCTTATCTCAATCTGATAAAAGCCATTATGGCCAACCTATTGCCAACATCATAATGAATGGGGGAACACTGAACAATCAGGAACAAAACAATGATATCCACTATCACCACTCTTGTTCAACATAGTCCTCAAAACATTAGCCAGAGCAACCAGACATGAGAAAGAAGTGGAGGGACACATATAGGACATGATAAAGTCGAAGTATCATTCTTTCCAGATGACATGAACTTCTACTTATAAAACCCCAAAAACTCTACCAAAAGACACCCAGAATTAACAGCCAAATTCAGCAATATAGCAGGATACAAAATAAGCACACAAAAATCAATAGCATTCCTATACACTAAAAATGAATTCGCTGAAAAAGAAATTAAGAAACTAATACCATTCACAATAGCATCAAAACAAATTAAATAGGAATTAACCTAACCAAGGAAGAGAAAGACCTTTACAATGACAATAATATCACTTTGAAAAAGGAAATCGAGGAAGACATCAGAAAATGGAAAGATATCCCATGTAACTCAATAGGCAGAACCAATATGGTAAAAATGGCTGTGCTTCCAAAACAGATACACAAATTCAATGCAATCCCAATCAAAATACCAAAAGATAACCTCTTTTTTTTTGTACTGTGGATTGAACTATGGGACCTTGTGCTTACAAGGCAGGCAGCGGCACCACTGAGCTAAATCCCTGGCCCTAGATAGCCTCTTCAATAAGTGGTGCCTGGAAAATGGGTTATCTATACATAGAAGAATGAGTCTAGACCCATGTATCTCATCACATACTAAAGTAAAGTAAAAATGGATCAAAAGCCTAACTGTTAAAATAGAAAAAATCTGCTGAAAGATATTATAGGTAAACATAGGCA